CTACTTCATCTGCTGAGCGTCAGCCAATCTTGAATGCAGTGAATTTCCCGCCACTACCCACAGCTTCAGAAAAGAATGAGGTGCCAAAAATTATCACACATAAGTACTCACATGAGGACATCATGGAAATTGTAAAGAATATGGACGAAAATGACTGCATGTTACCCGAGGGTAAAATGGACTATGCCGTGCATCCATCAGCACTGACGGCGGAAGCTCACCCTGACCTGCTGCGCAATCAGCGCACTTATAGTATCGAGCAGGCACGTGATGCAATGCGTCAGGGCCGGCCGATCCGCAGCGATTCGGTAGGCTCAATTGACTACGAGAGCATGATGTATGGCGAAGACTACACGAAGGAGGCTCGTGAGCAGCGCAAGCTGAAGGCTCAATCCGTATCTCCTACGGATGTCGCCTCCCCATCCAGACCGACTGTGTCTGCCGTCGTACCCGTTAAGGCAAGCTCTGTTCACACTAAGGTGATAGGATACGCTGCGGCAGTTATTAATGGTACTCCAGCTTTGGCACCTGAATCGAAAAAGAAACAGCCAGCTGCCAAGACAGCTCCCAAAGCTAACAAAGAGGAAAAAATGCTCGCCAAAACTACAGCAAATGGTGAGAAGGGAACGTTGAAAACGGCTACTTCTCCTACAGTGGATAATTCATTGCCAAAGTCCGGTGCATGGGGTGGCCGCAATTTCCTCGATGTCGTTAAAGCTGACCCGCCTCCTGCTTCTGTGAAAGTAGTGGCAGCTCCCGCAAACGAAAGCGAGAGTAAGTAGACCGAGGTGCGAAGCCAAGAGGCGAGTTGTAATTGACCTGGGTCTGGTTGATAGCGGCACAATTAGGGCGACGTTAATCGTGTTTGATCCTTGGCTGGGTTGTCGCGCTTTTTTAGCTTGTTTGCCAGTTGACTCGCTAAGTGATTTTAGAAACAAGACGGCCAATAGGTGAGAGCTGTAAATCGGGCCTGGAGATTTTGAAGATGCTGTGGAGCGACTGCAGCTCTTAGCTGTCGTCTCTCTCTTCATATTGATAATTTTTCTTTATTATACATGGATTTGCTGGATACGCGTGCGCAATGTCAGTAGCGTCACTTAGCGGACCCTTTTGCGTGGGAACTTTGCTTCGCGTCTCACACATAAATTCCAAGACTACACGGACAACATAACATGCTTGAAGCTGTAGGTGATAAAACAAGGATAAAGTATACCTGTGCGGCCTAGGCTTTATGCCACCAGCCTTCGTGCAAAAGAGCTGTACTGGATGCCACTGCCGACATGCAACCACGACAGCGATAACAATATAGATGAATGTGGTTTTTATTTCTTGATCGTGTCCTACATTTGACTACTTCAATTCTTGATCATGTGGCGCCAAATTGACATCTTCATATTTTTAAGGTGGTCTCGTACCGGTGGCTGGCAAGTCTAAGTTCAAGTAGACAACTGCTGCATTGCTTTACTGCTTCTCGCTCAAGTCTGCAGTATTTAAAGCTACAATCTTTACATATTTTTATTGCGTCTGCTGGTAGAAGTTTCTGGCACCAAATAAGCCCAGCGCACCGTTGACACGTGCTACTAATTGATATCTTGCAGTGGATTAGTAGATCAGTACTTGTTGCGCAGATTCTTGTGTGCCGCCAGCAAGCAGTATTAATGACAGTTTTAATGACGGATTCCTTTATCGAGAAGTCAAGCTATATTCATTGTGCTCAACATCGAAGCTGCAGTCAAAGATTATCGTTGGCGTCAAGCTGGGCTGCACCAACCCAGAACGATAAGTGGACGTTGGTAGCAACGAGAGGTTACATTTGAACATCTTTATAAGCTCACGAGACCTTCGCTAAGATTTCCATTCTAGCCAAAAGAATATCACATGTCGTTGTCGCCCTTCAAGGACTCAATTTGAGAGACAACGTAGACTACTTGATACAAAATATAGAAACTCTTATACTTGAAACGATTTGTCGATAAGACTTTACAGGCTGGCGACATAATCCACAATTTTCGAGGCGACTTCCAGTTGTACTTCCAGATTGATGATTCGAAATTCGGGCACATGTACAAAGAGTGCACGATACTGGCCAAATCAAACGAGCGCAAGTCAGTACATTCAAGTAAATATTCTGTGATACTTACATCTGAAAACCCTTTGAGCCTCTGCTGCTTGGCCCAATCAAGCGAGCAGTAGTACACAAAGTTGCAGATGTAGCGACCCGGATCGGTCGAAATTTCAATTCGGGGGTACACAGTCTGGAGCGTCTTAAGCATGTCTTCTACTGGTATGGTCGTCTCAATTATATCTGGCCCATCTTCACAAATAATTTCGTTCTTGGCAACATAGCCTCGCTCGTCTGGAATCCGAAAGTTTGCTACATTATAGCCCATTCTTTCAAGCACTAGCGAGCAAGATGTAGTGTCGACACCAAAGTGTAGAAAAACGCAAGGCCGACGGCGTTCCTACATGAAAACGTAGCTTAATCGGATATTCCTATTTGCTTTTCAAAGTACCTCTGCCCTTGTTTGCATTTTCGTCAAAATTTCCACGCAGCCTACAGAGCGTACCAGTAATCAGACAAACTATCTGTCCATGTCCTTCGAGTCAAACAAAGCTTTTATTTACCATCTTTGGAAACTTCAAGCACATGAGCTTCAATTACTTTTGGGTGCGTTTCTAGCTTCTTGGCAAGAATTGAGGTCGGATTCTCGAGGATATCGCTAAATTTGCCGAAACCGGTCAAATACACGTCACGCTTCCACTTCAGTGATGCTTCTGCCGCTGCACTATATTCGGCTGCAGGTTTTGCCGAGGAATTGAGTTGCAAGCTAACGACCATACTAGTTGAGTCACAAAACGGACAGCAAGTCGAGTAATGTCTTAGTGTAAATTATCTACATAGTAAAGCTTATCATTATATTTAAGGGTAATATTCTCTGTCTTACTGATAAAAATGACATCGATATTAATATTCGACCTCGTGATATCTAGGCTATATCTATCACTTGGTAGGAACATTCAGATCTACTTTTCGCACGCAGTTCGAGGATATCGCTAAATTTGCCGAAACCGGTCAAATACACGTCACGCTTCCACTTCAGTGATGCTTCTGCCGCTGCACTATATTCGGCTGCAGGTTTTGCCGAGGAATTGAGTTGCAAGCTAACGACCATACTAGTTGAGTCACAAAACGGACAGCAAGTCGAGTAATGTCTTAGTGTAAATTATCTACATAGTAAAGCTTATCATTATATTTAAGGGTAATATTCTCTGTCTTACTGATAAAAATGACATCGATATTAATATTCGACCTCGTGATATCTAGGCTATATCTATCACTTGGTAGGAACATTCAGATCTACTTTTCGCACGCAGTT